AATTATTACTCTAGGTCATCCAAGATAGTTAGCAATTACTGAACTTTAAATATTATATAGTACTGTACTACCCATACCATTTGAGACTGTCAACTGTTAGTATTTTATGTCCTGTCCCAAAAAATCACCATTTTAGTCAGTGTCAGTTGGTACTGTTCCAACTATTAGGTCCTGTCAGTTGTGACAAATTTAGGAACTACATTGATACCGCAATGTATTATATACAGAATCTTATCCTTGGCTCCCATCAAGTTCCAAAGACCTAAGATAACTTGCACTCCCACTCTAAATTGACTTAACCTTATAGTAATTTGGTACAAAAGTAAGATTTTTAATCTATGACACAGTTACATACATGGTCCAGGAACCTCCCCACAGTCTGAGTCTGAACTTACAGTCTAAGTACCCCTCCTGCTTGCTGTACCAGTAGAGTTCATCTCATCTTGATCCTATTGCCTCGCTTCAAGTTCTCCATCATCTTCACTCTCAGCCACAGTATCAGATTTATCAACTCATTGAATTCCACTATTACAGGAAAGGTACACTGATCTTATAAATCTGATTGAGAGTCAAGGATCCTGAAGGTAAATTGCAACCAGATGCAAGGCTTTTATTCTTAGTTTGACTACCCTGGCTAATGCCCTACATACAGTTTATTCTCTGGTAACATCATACTCTTAAGCTTAGGAATCAGGTTTATTATTTGACAGAGCAGGTCTAGTACTTGCCCAATCAGGATTGTAAATATGATATATATATTGTCCTATTGTATTTTGTGTCAGTACAGACTGTCTCAAGTAAATTTACCTAAAATTTACAGTCAGCAATTTATGTTTGTCCCAAATGGTATGGGTAGTACAGTATTATATTGTACAATGAGGTGGGGTAAGTTGTAACGTGGGGTTGAGCCACAAAATTTCATTGAGCCAGCAGTCAGCATGAGAAGAAAGAATGACGCCTTGTAGACATGAACAACCTGGAGACACTAGGTGCATCACCGTGTTCCGCCAAATGTGAGATGGTGCAGGGTATGAATAATCAAATTGGGCTCTTCACGGACGGGCCCCATAAGGACTATTCACCAGCTGTAGAGCACGTTCTTGTAAATCCCGGGGGTCGTGTCGCTGGGAAAACGCCAAACACCAATGCAACTGGTCCGTATTTCAAGCTGATACAGCTTATCATACTTTTTCTTATCCTGAGGCTGACCAATCGACCTACGTAACCCCTATCTCCGCCCTCACAAGTTTTCCACCGAATCAGAGTACTCGTACCCGCGGCCTAAGAACAGCAAAGGCCATTGTCCCGGATTGTTTGTCCGTTTTCCTTTCGAAGTTGGTGTCCTTTCGTCTCATTAGCCCATGCTTTGTGAGAACTCCCTTAAAACCAACCATGAAAACGGCTATATATAACTCTAGTCCCAAAGATGGCGTCTCCACGTTTATATCACCGGTATGCCGCCAGATGTTTTGGTGATTCTTAACCAGGAAAACCCGGAATCGATTGTACCTTGTGGCACCCATCCACAATGATTAAGCCCGGGTCCCGTTACCTCCCTGCATGGAGAGCGGAGGAGAGAAAATACAGTTCCGACTATCCCTTTATTTTATTTTATTTTCCTCTACCCTACAACGGTCTAAAGAGCATGTGGTGGAAAAATGTGGATTCGGGGTGTTAGAGCTCTATCAGGAGAGGTGCAAGTACGATATTCCACCAGTCGGTGCCGATCTTGTTGCATCTCAATGCTTTCCCCCAGTTCCAGATGTCTGCCTACAAGTCTAGGGATTCGGGATAAAACCCCTCGGTCCTCAGCTCTTCGAAATTCCATAAATCACTTCTACCCTTATTCCAGAACCCTTCCTCCCTACTATCCCAGGTCTCAAAAAAACGGAGAATGTCTCGAGTCAATCACAACCCGCACAACCTTCCCGAAGGGTGCGCCACCCCCCACCCAAGTCATCAGAGTGAGATTGATCCCTACATCTACGGCTACGACAACAGCAGTCCAGAGATAGCGGCAATTATTTTTCTCGATCCCGGCGACCTGCTCGGAAGCCTCGAGCAGCACCCGCAGTCCTGAAACCCCGGCTCGGGCACCGGCATCGAGACTTTCCACACCAGCCTTGCAAATTTGAGCAGCACTAGTGACACCATTACCGAGGACTTCAGGTGGGCACATTACCGCATATACCCCCTTAATCCTCCCACGGACCAATACTCGGTACTACAGGCTAACCCCATGTCGCCCTTTCAATCCAACCCCCCCTCAAATTACCAATACCAGATCCGAAGCGCCTCACCGGTTCAAGCAACTAGATGCGATAGCAACCAGACTATCAGCGACCTCGACATTCACCCTACTCATCTACAATACCCGGCTAGACAAGTAGGACAACTGGCCTGTTTTTTTTCACAGCGGGGGATATTACCCAAACCCCGACACCGGTAGCCCTGCGCCCTCTCCCCTTCTGTGCCGCCGCCGGCCAGCGCACCGCAGTAAGAGACAGGGCAAGGTAGCCAATCGCGCAGGCCCGGGGGTTCATGTCATACCTGCGGGATGAAATTTAAAAGGCAACCCGACCTAGATCGACACCTAAAAACAGCCAGGAAACATTGCGTCCCGGTAGACCTGTCCCTCCGGAGATCGGTTGCAAATATACTGCGAGATTCACGAGGGTTGGTAATTTCAGAGCTCATTACGAGGGCAGCATGGAAGGAGCGACGGTGAGTCAGATGGAGTTATTCAAGACTGGAAAACTCGAGGCAGGCCCTAGCTCCTGAGTGGGGGTGATTGCCGCGCTATAACACGGAAGCTCGAGATCAGGGCAACAGAGGAGAGTGGTGTTCGGCGAAAACAGGCAGTGATTGAGTAGGGGGTGGGAGGAGGAAGGAGTATGTATTTCTATTCAGAGAATTTGGAATAATGGAGGGCGGGAAGTAAGTTAGTAACAAGATCTGATCTCAAGGTAAATCTTTTATTGTATCAATTGTTTCCAATATATGGGCGGGAGTCGAATGACACATGACAATGACTTAATAGTGCAAGTTCCCCACAGACTATTAAACTTATATCGTGGGGCAATTACCTTGTTCACAGGGGTTATTTTGTCTAGTATGGGGTCTTTTGTGTCACAGCCCCCCGCCACCCGCCTCATACCAGGAACAAGCTCACCTGTTGTCCCCGTGATGCTGTGTGCGTAACGTTTTGATATGATATCTATGATGACACTGCTATCCAGAGCCTCACCCAAAACCAAATAGGGCCTCAAGTAAGTCCCCATGCCTCTCCCGCAATATGATACAACCCCTCACCTACGCACCCATGCCCGAACACCTTTCACCTACGATGTCATGCTTTCATCATATCATACTCCCTCCCCTCCCCCTCACGCCCTACCGCGCCCCTCTTAAGCGCATCTCCCAGCACACCCCAGGGCATACCCTCTCCTTCTCTCAATATTCTCTCTCCAGCCACCAAATTCCCCCTCCCCCAGCCCCAGGACACAATGCACCAACCCACTCCTCATCCAGGTGTGATATCAAATATGATACAAACTGTGTGTTACAGTTAGACCCTGTTTGGCGTGCAGCCATAAAAAAATGCCATATTTCTGAAAACAGCATATTTTTTAACAACACAACTATTCTAACTCAATAGTAGAATTTCCAGCCATTGTCAGTAGGAGGGAATCACTCTGCTGATTTTATTAAACTTGAAAATAAAAGACAATTTTACTACTTCTAATTGAGAGGTTGGAAAACTAGTGATGTTGGAAAATATGGAGGTCCTGGAGATGTTGTATTTTGCAACATCACTATTTTTCAAACCACTCAACTAGAAGTACTCAAATTGTCTTTTATTTCTGCCTGAATGAGCAGTGTGATTCCCTCCAACTGACTATGGCCCAAAATTCTACTATTGAGTTAGTATGGTTGTGTTTTTAAAAAATATGCTGTTTTCAGAAACATGACATTTTTTTATATGGCTGTGCGCCAAACAGGGCCTTATATATATGTTCCATCCCACTGGCAAAGAACTCTACTCCACCAAGGAGATACTCCCTCGGCCAAGTAGGTCACTTTTCTGGTAGGATATCCTACACACAAAGGAAACTTTTACTTATCCCATTGATCAAGCTTTTTGGTAAAGTAACATAATAGTAAAAAAATCAAAATCTATAGGAATAATAGTACTAGTATGTCTTATAAGCTATTCTCATTGCATTCCTATGAGCAGAGAGGTAATTCTAATACATTTTCAGACTTTTTATTAAATGTGAATAAACACTTTAGTTATTTGTTTATCAAATGAG